TTGAATCTTGTTGAAGTATAATTTGTTTTGAGTGAAACATTTTGAAAGTTTGTAAGATTTTCGAAAGAAATGTTAGTGAAGTTGGGTAGAGGATTCGTTTTCTGTGGGTAATGAATATGTGCTTCTTCGAATATATTGTTTTTAGATGTTTTAATAGAAATTTTTATATATTGTTCTGATTAGTAATTTGGATATTCATTTTGGATAAATTTTAAAAATGAACCTATTGACTGTGGTGAGGGTAGAAGTTGTAGGTTATAAAAGGAAAGGAATTTGTTAAAACATGTTAAGGAATTATATATTTTGGAGAGGTCTGGAATTTGGGTGAAGGTTTTTCCTTTACTAGTTTTGGTAGTTGGTGAGTCAATAGTATCATTTGGATCTTCTGTTGATGATTCATAATTAATATTAGTAGTTTTAAAGTTTGTTAGAGTGTTGATAAAGATGTTAGGTATTTGTGATTTTTGAGAAGTGGATATCAAAAATTTTTCTGAAAGGGAAATCTCAGAAGGATGTGATGAGTTGTTATCTGAGAAGTTAGTTTTTCCTTCTATAGATGCACTTGCCGTATACTCGGTTCTCACAGTTGCAGAAAATACCATAGTCTGCCCTGTACATTGGGTTTGATCGTCATTAACTTGGTCCTTCGCATAATTATTAATAATATTAAAAATATTAAAGTTGATAATAACGAAAAAATTAAAATTGAATTTGAATATAATAAAATTTCAGTTACTGGAAAATGTAGGATCAACTTTAAATAATTTAGTTTAATTTTATTTTATATGTTTATGATATGTATAAGATTTAAGTTATTATATCTAATTAGTGAATTTTCACTGATTAGATATTTATTTATGTAACTTTATAAAGTAATTAATTTGAAAATGTCTAAAAGAACATGTCAACAAAAAGATAGTAAAGAAGAAGTGGTTGAAGAAACTTCTTCTTGTAAAATCCAAAAATTTTCTGATGAAACATATGAATTTTATTTAAAACAAAAAAAATTGAATGCTTCAAAAAGATATTAGACAAAGGTCTTTTGAATTAGCTTTTTCTGATTCAGATGAACGTTTAGAATTTATAAAAAATTTACTTCATTATTATGAAGTAATTGAAAAAGAATATGATGATATTGATAAAATTATTTCCCTTAATCGAAATCATGCATTTTATTTTAAAATGCAAGAATGGAAATCAAAAGTATTGTCTGGACCATTAAATGGTACCAGTAATAATGTTACTAACTTAGAAAAATTAATTAAAAAGTTAGAAAGAGAAAAAAAATTATTTGTTTAATTTTTTTATATTTTTATATATATTATTATTATATTATTATATTATATTTTTTATTAAATTTAAATATCTATCAAGTCTTTAAAACCTGATAGAATTTTATCAATGTAATTTCAACAATGCATTATAAAAATAATTTACAAGAATTTTCTCATTTCATGTACAAAGATGAATACAATTTTTCAACTGAATATATAACTATAAATGGAAATCAAATTTTAGTATGAAGAAGTTCACGTATTAAAAATATACAACCAAAAAAATATATTTTAAACGTTTATATTAAAAAAAATTTAAAATCTTATATTGTGAGAAATGTAATACATTTCGAAAAACAAAATTTTGTACTAAATGTAAAAACAAATTATACAATATACAAGATTTTGATAATGAATCAGTTCATTCTAAACCATGTTCAGTTTCTTCAAAATCATTATATATTTCAAATGATGGATTTGTTGTTCTTGAAAAAAATGTTCAAATTGTAATGAAAAAAATGTATTTGTATTAGACTAAATAATATTATACCAAATTATATTACTAAACAAAATGCATTTTTAATTAATGATGTTCCTATTTTTGAGAATGAATAATTACGAATGGATGATAGTGATGATTAATTTATTATATATTTATTTTTTTAATAAACATCTAACTAGTTTTTATAAACCAGTTAAATTTTTAAATATGTAACTTTAACAATGATTCAAAATAATAATAACACTATTGATCTTTATCAAATTTATCTTAGTTTAAAAAAAAACCAAATTTTTTATGATGAACATCGTTCTAAATTATTATCATAGAAAGAAACATTAGAAGAAATAAAAAAAAATAGATATTCTTCTGATGAACTTCTTATACTAGTTGAGTCAGAAATGACTATTAACAAAAATTTAACAAAAGATGCTAAAGATAATATTAATAAACTTGAAAAAAATATATGTAATTTTAGTCTTCTTATTATTGTTAATAAAGATAAAAAAGTTTGGATTAGTCAACATATCAATCCATTTAAAGATTATTACAATAAATGACAAGTAGTAGGTGGTGGTAAAAATTCAAATGAATCTTATATGGATTGTGCAATTCGTGAAGCTAAGAAAGAAGCAGAAGTTAATATTAAATTAGAAAATTTAAAAATAATTAGTACTATTGAAGAATTTCAAGTTTTTCCAAATTCTGAAGGACAGCAAATATTATGTCGTACAGTAATTTTTTATACAATTACTAATCAAATCCTTCAACATACTAAAAAAGATAATCATTCTGAATGGATTTTAGTAGATTTAAAAAAATTATCAGAGTATGATATGACTGATTCTATTAAAGAATATATGTCAATTATATTTGAAGTAATTAATAAGAAAATTCGTACAATTCGAAATGCTGAAAGTAAAAAGAGAAGTGCAGCAAAAAGAAAACATAAAGAAATTGAAGGTGTAGAAAATGAAAATTTACAAGAAATTTTAGTTGTAAAAAATGATGTTGTTAAAACAAAAAAACCAAAAAAAAACACATGAAGTAGAAGAAAAAGTTACTGATAAAAGTAGTAGTAAAGATGAAAATGTAGAATCTAGTTCAAATTAAATTATTTTATTATTTTTAATTTATTTATTATTAAATAAACATATTTATCTATTCAGTTATTTAACTGAATAGAATTTTATTTATATAAATATAAATATGAATGAACTTGAAAAAATAAAACAAATTTCTGATCAAATAGTTAATTCTGCTTGGAATATTCAAGCAAGTAATAATGAAAATAATCAAATATTTATCATTAATTATATGTTTGAAAGAGCAGAAATAGATTTAAAACAAAAGAAAACTATTGATTATATCGATGTATAGAAGCAAATAAATTATAATTCTCAATTATTAAAGTTAAAAGCTAAAATAGAGTTTGATTCATTATATAATAAATTAAAATTATCTATTCAGTCAAAAACCGAATAGATTTTTCTTATTGTAAACTTATTAATTATGAAATTTAAACTTGATAGTTTACCAACTGAACTATTATTATTAGTCATATTTTCATGTTTACCTTTCAAAAGACAGATTCATATACGAATATTTTTAAAATGTTTTTTTATTATTTATGATGAGTGAATAACACATGTTTATTTTTCTGAGTTATTAATTACAACAATTGATATTGATAAACATGTTTTGTTTTGATATCAAAAAATTATTGATAATGGAAAAACAAAACATCAATATACTTTATTTGATATTGAAAAATTTAATCAAAAATGGTTTTGGTTTAAGAATTAAACTAATTCAAAATGTAAAATGCAAAAGATGATAAAACGAAAAACTAATAGAGAAATATATTGTATTATTTATCCTTTAATAAAATTTTATTTATATGATAAGAAATATGTTAAATATCAACATAGAAGAATTTGTGACAAGTGTCATAAATTTTGTTCACTAGATCAAATCACTGTTTCAAATACACAATGTGATATAAATTGTGTTTTTCGTGATAAGAAAAATATAATCGAGAAAGCATATCCAAAAAATATATGTTGTGAGTATTTTGGTTTATGGAAAAGAGAAGAAAGTTGTGATAATTGTGAATTTCTTTATCAATTTTATTTTCATAAATTATGTAATAACTGTAATAATCAAATTGAGAAAGAAAATTCATTAATTTTAATTGTTAATAATTATCCATTCAGTTTATAACCAAATAGATTTTTTTCTATGTAACTAAAATAATTAACAATGTTTGAATCTACGAAAAATTTTTTAGAATATAAATTAGAAAATTCATTATAAAAAAGGATTCATTCAACTTTTATGATAAAAACATTTTGGGTATTTGGAAAATTTAGTCATTATAAAAATAAAATTTTTAATAGAATTAGAAAAGTTTCAATTAAAGATATTGATTATTTTGAAGTTGAAACCCAAAAGTCTAATATTACTTTTTTAATTGATATTAAAAATTATGGAATATTAAAAAATCATATATGGTTTTGTTTTAAAAGAAGGATTAATGCTACATATTATATTCGAACAGGAAATGTTAAAGGAAAAAAAAGTTATTTTCATTAATTTATTTGTTTTGAATGAAATATGATCGATCATATCAATAGAAATGGTCTTGATAATCGTAAATGTAATCTTTGAGAAACAACACCTCATTTAAATCGATTAAATTGTAAATTACGAATTGATAATACTTCAGGTTATAATGGAATCAGTTTTGATAAAAAATATAAAGCATGGAAGTTTTACTGGCAAGAAAATAATAAAAAAAAAATTAAATATTTTTGAATTACGAAACATAGAACTTATAATAATGCAAAACAACAAGCACTAGAATTTAAATTAAAACATGATAAATTATCAGGAAATAAAAATGGTTATATTATTTAAACATCTATTCAGTTTATAACCAAATAGATTTTTCTATATATAAATAAAAATGACTACTACTGAAAAAAAAGTAAGTTGGATGTTCCATCTTATTTTGTATTTGTGAATTCTGCCATAACAAAATAGAAGTATATTCTGAATGCATCATGTATGCTGAGAGTATATTTTATGATTTTGTGAGAAACTAATATCAGAATTGAAGTTATATCTTCAAGATGCTGATATTGCAAACATTGGTAAAGAGAATTCTCATACTCATATTTATTTTTTTGTTTATTTCAGATAACAAATTATCAATCTGGTCATGATTTTGAACTAATTACTCAAAAAATTGCAGAAGCTTTTGGATTATTAGTTTATAAAATTAAAGTGACACAAGAAGATAATGGAATTAATATTATTGTAACTTATAAAGAAAAAGTTATTCTTATACAATATAAAAATATTAAAAAATCTATTTCTGTTCAAACAGTACGAGTTTTTGAATCTGCTATTTCAAGATTTTCATCAGATTCTCTAGAAATTATTGTTTATAATAGTAAAAAGTTAAAGGAAAAAAAATATGCAACTGTTAAAGCAAAACTTTAGACACAAACATCTAAAAGAAATATTAAAATTTGTAATAAAGAAGAGTTTGTAAATATTATTAAAGATTTTTATGAATCAGATGATGATGATTATATAGAGTTAGTTGATTATAAAGCTAACAGTTTCAATATTAATAGTTTATTAGAAGAAAATGTTTCTATTAATAAGATTGTTATCAAAAGAAATAAAATAAATAAATTTTCACCTTTTTAGTATCTGTTTAGTTTAATACCGAACAGATTTTTATTTACGTAAAATGTATTTTTCAATTGAAATTATTTTAATGATAATAAAATTATTATGTAATAATTTTATTTTTCCTCAAACTATAAATTATATATTGCAAGATTAAAAAATTTTAAATACAATAAAATTTTGTCCAAAAAACATTATTGATAATTTACGGTTAATATCTAAATCTTATAAAATTGAATTTGAAAAATACTTTTTTAAATGATTTTGTTGTTATTATAATTTTAATTTAAGACAGATCAAATTATTTTAAATAATAATTTAACAAAAGTTATTGATGATCCTAAAATATATCGATTTTTTTATAAAAATTTATATGGTATTATGATGAATGATATCAAGAATAATGATAATGACATCTTATTAAAAGAAAATTTATATTTTTGGGAATGTTTACTTTTGAATTTTCTAATTATAGATAATTTAGAACTCGGATTACATTTTAATATGTTAGAATTTTTAAAAAAACTAAATTGTTTTAATCTGTTTTGTATTTTAAAAAGAATTGAACTATTACATACAGATTTTAAATATTCAAAAGAACAGTATTATGAAAATTATGAAATATTTGAAATTAATATTATAAACAAATATGAAAATATATTTTCTAATAGTTGGTTCATAGAAATTTATGAAAAATTTTAATCTATTTAGTTTTTAAACCAAATAGATTTTTATTTATATAATTTTTGAAATGTCAAAAACATTCACTATTAAATTAGTTAATGATTTAGATTTGTTGTATCAATTTAAAGATAATAGTTATGATACTATTATTACAGTTGATACAGATTTAAATAAGCAATGGATCTTTGCACATTCAAATATTTTACATGCTAGATCAATTTATTTTCAAAATGCTTTATCAAAAAATTGGACTAAAAAAGAAAATCAATTTTTTGTCTTATCGCAACCTTATATTAGTGCATTAATATTCAATATTATTCTCAAATATCTATATTGTGGAATTATCAAATTAAATGATTTAGATATTGATACAATTTTGAAACTCTTAGTTGCTGTTGATGAGTTGTCAATTGAAGAACTTAACAATTTTATACAAGACTGTTTAATTGGTAGTGATTTTTTAGAAACACAATCATGTAAAATATTGAATTTTATCAGTAATAAGTCAATGTTTACAAAACTTAAAAAAAGTATATTTGAAACTATTTGTGAAAAATCAAAAGTTTTATTTGATCATGATGAATTTCTTGATTTGGAGAAAGATCTTTTAAAATTAGTTATTCAACATGATGATCTTGATATGAAAGAGAATAAGATTTGGAAATATTTAATCAAGTGGAGTAAAAATCATTCAGAAGAAAGTTTACTTGAATTAATTAATTATATTAGATTTTATCAGTTTATTCCTAATGAATTTATGAATGAAGTATGGAATCATAAAAATCTTTTATCTGAAGATTTAGTTAAAGATATAATAAATTACTTTTTAGATACAATACAAGAACCAAAGTATGATATATCATTTATCAGATGGGAAAATTTTACAATCAAATCAGATTTGATTGAATGAAAGATTGCCTTAATCTTAACAAAATTAAAAGATAAAACAAAAGATGATAAATCAAAAGGATTTAAATATAAATTCATTTTATTATATAATAGTTATTCAGATGGATGGACACCTAAATTATTTCATACTAAATGTGATAATCAAGGTCCAACTATCATAGTAACTAAAATTAAAAATACAACTCTTCTTATGGATGGATATAATCCACTTGATTGGAATGGAAATTCACAATATAAAAAAACAACAGATAGTTTTCTATTCATAATTGATTATAAAAAAATAAGTGATTGTTTTACAATATATATTAAACTTGATCATATTGATTAAGCAATATATTGTAATAATGATTGTAATCCAACTTTTGGTAAATACGATTTTCATATTACAAAAGATAAATCTTTAAAATATATATCAAAATTTTATGATATGATTGCGAATAATCGCACTTATAGTTTGGATAGTTATGAAGTTTTTCAAATTAGTAAAATAGGAGTTTAATAATATTTTATTTATAATAATTAAATTATCTATTCAGTTTATAACCGAATAGATTTTTTTGTATGTAAAATAAAAATGATTTCAATTAAAGTTATTGTAGCTTTGATTTTATTTTTTTTATTATTTCTTCTTTGTTATATTATTCTAATATCAAAGAAGATTACAAAAATTATTGTATTCATGAGAACCATTGGAGCTAAAAAGACTACATGTGTGAAATTATTTGAAGATTATTTGAAACAAAAAGGATTTTCTGTTTATCAATTTATTGAAGCTTCACTTGAAGTTTTTGAAGAACTTGAACTGTTTTACAAAACTCAAAACTTTCTGTTTTTTTAATATGTAGTTATTAATCTCTATAAAGAAAGAGCATCATGTATTAAAACTTTAATGAATTATGATTATATTATTGAAGATCATACTATCAGAGACGTGAATATATTTAACAATTTTGTTAAAAATAAGGATGAACAAGAATATGTAAATAAGAAAGTTATTGAAACTGATCATCTTGAATTTTATAAGGTTGTTTATGTAGACCCACCTCTTAGAACAACAACTAGACATAAAAAGAAACGAGGTAGACATGGTAAAACATGTTCAAATGAATATTTAAAACAACTTTACACTTTATATGAAACTAGTATTGATACTATTTATCCAGAACATATTAAGTTTAATAACAAGATTGTTTTATATAATGATGGTATTGATTTCAAACCATGTCAAAAGAAATGTAATCGTAAATTTTATGATATTTTTTTTAATCAATTATTATAATTTTTATTATTAAATATTCAGTTTAATAAACCGAATATTTTTTATTATTGGTAAACATGGATTCTCAATTAGACTTATTGATTACTAATACAATGCAGAAAAGTCTTCTTTTCTATAAGATTTATCATAATATATATACTCATTTTATTGAGAATCTTATTATGAATATACTTATTCCAGTTTCTAAAAAATTGAAACTAAATAATTAATATGTTTAAATTTTATTTATATTATTTTATATTTTATTAATTTTATCATTTGTATTAATCTATCAAGTCAATATGACCAAATAGATTTTTTTATATGTAATCTTTATTACAATGATTTTTGTTCATAATGAGATTCTTATATCAATATTTTCTTTTTGTTTACCTCAAAAAATTTTTATAAATGAAATAAGTTATTATCAACTAAAATATATTTGTCATTTATGGCTAAATATTTGTTTAATGATTCATAAAACACGTGGAATAAAATATTGTTTAGCACGGAAAGATTTTTCTACTCATGAATATCCAACTAAAATACCTTTCTATACAAGATATAAAAATGATATAATTTATTTATGTTTTGACAATGATGAATTTGAATTAAGTACATTTAAAAATTCTCGATTTCATTTAACAGAATCATTTGAAATTCTATTATTCGCAAAAACTATATATGAACGTTGTAGACATCTGTCTTATTGTGCAAAAATGAATATATACTTATCCAAAATTTTGATTGCCAAACTTTTTCTTGTTCTGTACATGAAGGAGTTGACAATAGGGTATATTATGTTTATGATAAAAAATATGTTTCATATAAGCATAGTGTTTGTTTATTATATGATGAATTTTTTCTCAATAATGTTAAAAATAATTATATTAAAGATAGAAATATGATATTACTATCATTATCATTATTAAATTCATTATTATATCAATTAAATTTAAATAAAAAATAGATATTTTATTACTATTTAGTCTAAAAGACCAGATAGATTTTTTTATATATAAAGATGGATGAAATCATTAATAAATTATATGATTTGATCTATAAAGAATCAACTACCAAAACATTAAAAGATTATTTAAAAAAAAATAATCATGATTTT